GGCTGGCGGAGCTGGGAGACGGGCCAGTCTGCGGAACTCGGCCGAGCGGATCTGACACCTGCGTCGGGACCCGCCCTCCCGGCGCCGCGTCCCCCTCGCAGCCGTCGCTCGCCGGTGGATGGCGGAGAGGCTGGGTCGCGCGCGGGGTGGGCCGAGGGGGCGCGAGAGCGCTGCGAGGACGCGCTTTCCCCACCCGCTCCCAAACCGTCCTCTCTGTGAAAGAGAAACGGGTGGGGGGGGAGAGTTTTGTTCCCCACTCGAAGCCGCGAGGTGGATCCCTTCCGTTGTCCATCCTCCCGGTCCTCACGGCCCTCCTCGGGCCCCATTCATCCGAGCCTTGAATCCCCGACACGAGCCCACTCCGCCTCGCCGCCGGGGGTCCTGCGCGTCCGGCCTCCTGCGCTGCCCGCCTGACGGCCGCCGCCTCAGTCCAGGCTAACCGCGGACTCTCCTTCCGGGAGGCCAAGATTTGGGGAGGAAGATCGTTAATAGCCATAAGGTCCGCTTGCGAGTATCCAGTGAAGACAATGCCTCTATATTCGGAGGCAAACGTTTAATTTGATGTACGTCGTAAATCTAAGCAGATTTAAAGATTTAAACAAGACTCGTGTGGTTTGGCCAACTCGGCCATTTAGAAACCCATGGAAAGCTTAGGCAAACGAGTTTCTGAACTTCATTTGAGTACTATGACAAGACAAAAGTATGTTCCAGGGAGGCTGTGAGAATGAGATCCCTAGGAGCATTTTGTAAATTCTAAAATTGTTTGAAAATAAAAATTGCTGTTTGAAGGAATCGAGTATGAATATTGTGCAATTCGTTCATTTCAACCAACTCGTATGTATGTTCATTGCTGCTATGCTAACAGATTTTTCTAGATCGTGAAGAATAAAGCCAAAGATAACAGATGGTCATGCTACTTTATATGGGAAATTCAAATAACCTGAGTTGTTTATTACCAATTAAGATATCAGAGGTGAGATACACGTTGCCTTCTCGTAGGTCCCACACCCCTCAGTCACCTCAGGCAACAAAATTTTCAGCATTCTTTTCCCAAACCTTGGGTGTTTTTTGTTTTTCTTGATTTCTCCCAGGGAAAATGAGAGTTCTTTCAAAGATGTAGCATAACCTGGAGTGGTAATTCTGAAGTGGACTAGATGGCCAGTTCCACATACCTCAAGTTCTCTGTATCTTCATCTACTCTAAAAGTTAACTACAAACATTTTATAAAAACTAAAAGTGGTGGCCCATTTCATTGACTCGCTATAAAGTACATGAATCAATAAGTATTAATATAAAGCCTGTCACAAAGAAGTGCTAGTGTATTTACTACTATATGCCACTGAGACTAAACCAGGATACTGAATTATTTTTACAAAAGATACATTCAGAGGAACAAATGTGCTAGATAGGTACACTGCCTCAAAAGAGTGGGGAAATTGTACATAACTAAATGTTGCTGTTACTTCTATTAGACATTCAATCTCCTGGAACATAAAGACAAAGAAACAAGTATTTTGTGATCAAGGAGAACAGATCAGAGATAGTAACACTTTGAATGTCTGGAGAAAAATACATAGGGAAATGGGCACAGGGAATAGGTTTCCATGACCTGCCTACGAAAAGATCAATATTATCAAACCTACCCTTCATTCCCCCCGTTAACCATGCACCTCTCAGAAAAAGCAGCTCGTATTGGCAAAACTGTGGATATGTTATTAATTCATTACTGGCCTTTCTTTTAAAAAAGCAGTGTCTTTTCAATGTAGAGTCACTGTGTGCCAGACATATCCTTTGAAACTATAAGGCATACAACAGCATTACTTTTCAATTAAGCTAGTCATAAAAAATAATGAAAACCATTTTTTTAAAAGCTGAAATTGTCATATGAATAATGATCAAATGCATACTTCATATTTTGTATGAATAATGAAACAAATTATTTGCAGCAAGTCAGAAAGATTCAGCTTCTTAGATTCATTTATAATCTATAAACATGGATGATATATTTAGGTAAGAATGGACACATACTTCCTTTGAGAAGCAATGTTTGCTCAAAAAAGCAGTCCTCACGAGTTTAATTGTACGCCACTCATCTTAAACCAATAAATAAATGTTTTTCAGCAGGCGTGGGGTCAGTAAAATCACTTAACATCTCTAAAGGCAGATGAATCTGATTGGAAATCTAGCTTTATGTACTAGTGAAATGAGATTTTTGCTTAGCCTCTGAAAGCGTCAGTTTTCTCATCAGCAAAATGAAGATTAACTAATCAAATTATAGGATTAATGAGACGGCCCAAGACTAATGCACTAGATAGTGAGTTTTTAATAAAGACTGGCTAGTCTGATACAAGACTGATAATCAAAATAGCCAAATATCAAACAGAAGTTTTGCAAGCATTAGATATGTGGTAATGGTACAAATATGAATATTTACGGATACATGGTTCCTGAG